TTTTAGGCGTGGCAGGAAGATAGATGACCATTACACACATTATGATGGCTACTAGGGGAGGAAGGTAGGAGCCATTACACACATCTATGATGGTAACTAAGGAGAGGAAGGTTAGGAAACATTTACACACATATATTGGTGGGCTACTTAGGCGGTGATGCGAATGTTAGAAACCATTACCACATTATGATGGTACTAGAGGGCGATGCAACGGTAAAAGACCATTACACACATTATGATTGGTACTAGGGGGGGAGGAAGGTGAGAAACCATTACACACATTATGATCGCGTACTAGGGCGAGGAGTGAGAAGACATTACACAATTATGATGGTACTAGGGGGAGGAAGGTAGAAACATTTTTTACACATCATCGCGTGGTACTTAGGAGGAGGAAGGGTAGGCAAACATTACACACGTTATGATCGGTACTAGGCGGGAGGAGCGTAGAAAACATTAACACATTATGCATTGGTTACTATGATGGTACTAGGGGGATGAAGGTAAAGACCATTACACACATTATGATGGTACTAGGGGGAGGAAGGTAGAAACCATTACACACATTATGATGGTACTAGGGGGAGGAAGGTAAAGACCATTGCACACATTATGATGGTACTAGGGGGAGGAAGGTAGAAACCATTAGACACATGATGGTGGTACTAGGGGGAGGAAGGTAAAGACCATTGCACACATTATGATGGTACTAGGGGGAGGAAGGTAGAAACCATTAGACACATGATGGTGGTACTAGGGGGAGGACGGTAGAAACCATTACACACAACATGGTGGTATGATGGTACTAAGGTGAGGAGGTAGAGACCATTGAATGCATGATGGTGATACTAGGAAGAGGAAGGCACGGGGTATTAAATACATGATGGTGGTGCTTGGGGGAGGAGGTAGACAACAAAAATATAACAGAATACAAATTGTGGGGAGGGAGGAAAGCAGCAAAGACAATTCGAATTAGGACAGGCACTGCTGCGGCAGGGAAAAAATAGGTGGCTACAGAATTATTACACTTGTAAGTCTGGTACTTAGGTATTGTTATTTGGAACTTAATGTGTTTATGTACATGAAAATGGTCCAAAAATTGCATAAGTTCGTGAAACATACACATATGTATGGAATACATAGTGCTGTTAGTTGTTGCCCTGCAGTTTGTTACTAAAATCACACCTGTGTAGCTTATACAACACATATTTCCCATAAGATCAACATACCTTCTGATGCTGCTCCATTAAGTTCTACGACGACGTGCAGCTTTCCAGCAGGTTCCAAATCAATCTGCAAAAATCAGAACAAACTATAATAACCAGCACGAAACGTACTGAAAGCATAAAGTATGAAATTAGCAAGGAGCAGCATGACACAAAAATATTTGCACAGCATGAAATAAAGTAAAACCAAATTAAATTTCGAAACGGAGGCATAAAACACAGGCAGAGGGACTAGGGAATAAGATCACGGCATGCATGCACTAAGGCACGAAAGGTCGTTGTCATATCAGGTACTACATATATGTACCCGAGGTAGTTTTAGGTTGTTTAGTATTATGTTTATATTTTTATATGAGGTATGTTTAGGGTTAGGGCTGCCTAGGGTTAGGGTACACTTCTGTAGTACAAGTCTGGTACACTTTGTGTATACATATATGTACCTCGGGTACATATAAGTAGTACCTGATACGACAACGACCCCTTCAGCTACACTAAGAGAGATGGTAATAAGAAAACAAGCCACAGCTACGAGTTCAAACACCAGCTGATCTCATTGTTTGCTGTATGTAAATTTCTCTGCTTTGCCTTCAATAGTACTCGTGTTGAAAACAAGAAGCTGTCTTCTTTGGATGCGTTTGCTTGGAATCAATCCGCCTGATCAGGATCACTTGATCCTGATCACCCAAAACAAATGCAAACCACTGATCTCTATATACTAACTGGATGGTGCTTAGCCAATCCACGGTCGGTGAGAAAACGACGCCATCTTGCCACCACTCCCAAAAGCTGATCTCTGCCCCACAACATTTCAATTGAATAATAACGAAATACAGCTTAATTTATCATTTTTATTTACATGAAAACAAACTTCGATATATACACTACAGAATTTATACATTTTCATAGATAGACAGATATATACAGTGAGAAAAAAGTGAGAAAGAATATGATAGTCTATACATAGAGGTTTTGGACGTGACGTTACAGGTCACGTGAAAATTCGGCTCAGCCTATTGGCCTGACTCTAGTTCGAGGAGTGGTGTCATGGCGTCTGGTGACTACACCTATTGGTCACTAAGAGCTATCCAGTTAGTATATATATAGAGATCAGTGACGCAAAAACTCACTTCCAACAGTTCACGTTTCGCTGTGACAACAACGTTTTCATAACAAACAACAATCTGTGATTGGCTGGGTCGCACGCCGCTATATTGGATCCCCTGCGAATCCACCTCGCAACCAGGTTTATGAACATGTGATCCGGATCACTGACCGGCCCAAACAAACGTGCAGGATCACTTGATTCGTTTGATCAGGATCGTATGATCCGCCCAAACAAACGCACCCTCTGCCAGTTGTCACAGTTCAAACTGTACAAGTGCACACCATATTCACTGTAGCCTGCAACTATACCACCATGCAGTTCTTGCGTTCCACAGAACCATTCCAGAACAGTTTCTAGATTCTAGATAACTATTCTAGATAGTCCATTAATTCTAGAAAACCTTTACAGGATACAGATCAGTGATCACTGATAATGATTCTCATGATCCGGACAGATCTTCTGATCATCATCATCGTCATCATCATCATCATCATCATCATCATCATCATCATCATCATCATCATCATCATCATCATCATCATCATCATCATCATCATCATCGTCATCATCATTATCATCATAAGAACGTATACAACACAGTTGGAACAGGCAGCAGTATATGAAGGTGGAATTAAATTAAGCACATGTATGATGATGCGAGCTTTAACAGTACTAGCTGAAACCCGCGCTACGCGCGGGCTTAGTTGTTGCACATGTTTTTTTTTTCATGGTTGAGATGTCAATACAAATACATGTAGAATCATGCTTACACGTAACACATTAACCATTTGTTTGGCAAGCACACAGTGAAATACAGACACACGCACGCACGCACGCACGCACGCACGCACACAATACAAAATATTTAACTTGATTATTACATGGTTCGTTCTACTTACATTATTGGGCTTACAAAAATCTCAGACACACACACAGGGAACAAACATACACAGAACAAAACGAAAACAAAACAGCGCCCCCTATTTTCAGGCAAATCTTTACCTTTTTAGTTTTTTTAAATCTTTTTTAAGACCGAACAAACGGTTTTCAACCGAGTATAGTTTAGAACCCGTCCCGTGTACTCATCGATCTCTTCTGTGAATTTGGCGCTATTTGGATCCAAACTGACGGAGCCTTTCATTAACATACATACATACATACATACATACATACATACAACATTCGCCAAATTATAGTAAGATGAAACGAACCGAAATGCTTTCTGTGATGCGACTTATCTGAACAGTCAACAAAACCAACACATGTATTACATATATATACATGCGTGTCTACTGTGCTGGTACATACCGCGTGGTGGTAGTACATTGACTAAACTGGCACCTGTGTTATGTAAATACTGTATAATGGTGATGTTCCCCACTCTGGCCGTATTACTAAGAAACAACGCAAGTGCAAGATCTACTTGTATCACTAGAGCTGGGTTTACACTTATCGAAAAGTCGACGAGTTGATCAACTTTTCAACGTTCTATCAACCTTTCTATTAGATGTTCAAAGCATTTACATTATCGACCGCGAGTCGGCAATCGTTTCAACATTTCACCCGCAGCGTGCTCGCGTGGCGATGTGGATAATTCGCGCCAGGTGTAGCCCGTGTGGCGCCGATAGCAAAAACGCGCGCGCAAATAATCTCCCACTGTGTGGAGGGACACACCTCATAGGAGTGCTATTATCTGAGTGACTGATTGGCAAAAAGTTGATCAACTCGCTGACCAAAAGTTGAGAAAATAGAACATGTTCTAATCTCTCAACTAGCGGACATCAACTAGTTCACTTCAGTGCCCAATTTTTACGCTTACACTGCCGACTTTCGGTCGATTAGTTGAAAAGTTTATCACCTCGTCAATTTTTTAACAGAAAGTTGATAGCGTAAACCCAGCTACAGTACAGCGTACAGCGTTAACACGTGTACATTAGCAGACACATGAAACACACACAAATGCACTTTCTCACGTGATTTTTGATCGTCAAAACTCGTGTTTTTAAAACTATTATAACAGTGCTGACAATCGTTTGGTAGTTTGTTATCGCATAACATTCGATGTCATTGAACTGAACATGAATCACCTCTCCGAACAACCAACTTTTGTAAATAACTCTCGAATGCAGAGTAACAAATCTGGCACCAGTAGTATGCGGGAGGGATCTGACAACGTTGCCGGACAGTGATATATATCAACGTGCGCAGCGTGCGTTCATTAATAAACAGACGACTGCATTATGTACATGTACAGTATCAACGGAACATTTGTATGACATCTAGTCTACATCACCAATAAACGTTATATGGATGCTAAACGCAGAGAAACTTTCTGTCTAGTTGCAGTACTAGGAGCAGCACTACTTAGTACTTAGGGAGACAGCGTATGTGTGTGCGTGCGTGGGTGCTTGTGTGTGCACGTATGGGTGCGAATGTGCATGCGTCCGTGTGCGCGCGTGTGCGTGCGTGCGTGCGTGCGTGCGTGTGGTGTGTGTGTGTGTGTGTGTGTGTGTGTCTTGAGTGCGTGCGTGCGTGCGTGCGTGCGTGCGTGCGGGCGTGCGTGCGTGCGTGCGTGCGGGCGTGTTGTGTGTGTGCCTGCGTACGTATACATACTTATCAACATATATATATATATATGATGATGATATGATGAACGTGTAAAATGCTCTGCATCATGCAATATTACTCTGAATCTTTCTACATAGAAATGCAGTAGTAAGAAATATTTACTACCAAAATTATTTAGTCAACAATTTGACGAATTGCTAAGGCTAGCTTAATTTTTTTACAGTAAAGGGCTCAAAAATAAAATCAATTAATATATTGGTAAACTTCAATAACTTGTTAACTTGTTGTAGTAGTAATAGTAAATGATTGTATAACAAACTCCTGTCATGTACACGCCCACATATGATATTTATTGATACAATATATATCTAGTACTACACGTGTTATCATGCAGTTGAATAATTTCACATTTATAATGTTTCAGTGTGCGGGGGTGTAAGTATGGGTATATATATATATATATATATATATATACAGGCCCGTAGCCACGGGGGGTTGCAAAAATTTGCAAGTATTTCACCTCAGGTATGCACCAGATCGCTCTATTTTAATGTAATAATTGCAAAATCTCCATCGTGTGGGAGGGGAGACACTAGCTCCCCTCCCACACCCTCCCCCCGCTCGGTCGCTCTGCTCCCTCGCTCGGTCGGTTCGCGCCATCAAAAATTGCCAACATTTAAAAACGAACCCCCCCAATATAAAGCTGGCTACGGGCCTGTATATATATATACGTGCATGTGTACGTATGCGTGCGTTCATGTGTGCGTGCATTCATGTATACATACATGTATAAATGTATGTACGAGTGCGGGTGTTCATGTGGCGTGCATGCATGCGTGCGTATGTACGTATCTACGTACGTTTCTATTATGGACTCTTGGTCGATGTATATATATGTACATGCAAGTATGAATGTACAAGTTCAATTTCTACACAGCAGGCCAAAAATGTAAGCAGTACATCTAGATCTCTACATGGCTGAGGCTGCACACTTCCCTGTTTCCATGGCAACCCAGGCAATAGTGCAGTAAATTACTGTTGAGCCGTAATTTCTATCACGGAGAAAGGGACTGGAGGGATGTGATGTGATGTGTCTCTTGGTCTGACTCTCAAGGTGTTACAGCTGTACGTATGACCAGCGATGCGGGCAGTTACTCTCAAGCACAAGAATGCTAATTTCAAAGCAAGCACGAACAACGTGTATAAAATTTGTTAATAAAGGCCTTATTCCAGAAAATGCCTGTGATATATGATTAGAGTACTCAATGCAACTTAAAGATGACTTGAGTCAAAATAATAATAAATAAATACCTGAATCATAACCTTGCCAAACTTCCAAACTACTTGTAGTGTCTTAAACGTATTTATACTAGTAGCATCTTCCAACCTGGACC